AGCAGGAGAGCAGAGCCTGGGACCTGCCCCCCCAGACACATGGAGCCCAGAGGGACTCAACGTGCCACAGGGCTTGTCAGGGGACGGAGGGACAAGTGCCGTGACACGCCCCGACTCCAGGGGGTCACATTGGCCAGGCCACCAGCAGGCGGAAAGCCGCCAGGGCCGGGGAAACAGCCCTCCTCTGCCTACAGGGTGGGCGTGGGGACCAGAGAGCCCCATTTCCACCTTGGCGCAGGGACGGTGCCCCTCTCTCCGGGTAGCCAAACCGTTGGGGCAAGGGGGCAAAAGGCCAGAGACCCAAGCCCTGTTTACAGGGAGGTCACCCGGCGCAGTACCGGCCAGGACACCAAAGGTGCCGGCAACGGGGCCGTGGGGAAGCCCCTTTGCCCTGAGCTTCCTCCTCTCCCCCCAGCCCTCTCTTCAGCCCGCCGTTCCTCCTCTCCCTCGCTCTGGCCTCGCAGCTCCTTCACGATGCCTTGTCTTGCTTCTCCAGGGTCTGTTGCTCAGAAGGAAGGCGCAGCCAGGTGCCAGTTCCCCCACCCGGAGGACAGAGCAGAGGCTCCAGCCCTGCTGCCAGGGTGCTGGCACAGCACAAAGCATTGCCAGGGCTACCCAGACCAGGCCCAGGCCTGGCTCGCAGGCCCCATTTACTCCCAGCCTCCCGCCTTCCCCCAGGCCTCTCTCTCTTCCTCCCAAGCTGCTCCCAGCACTGAGAGCAGAGAGAAAGAGGGCTAGGGCCAGGGCAGGGCATGCCCAGCCCCACACATCTCAGCCCCCCACCTCTGAAAGGCTGGGGGCCGGGGACACCTGCCTGCTCACAGAGGGTCCCTCCCAGCACCTCCCACTGAGCACAGGACATGCTCACGGTCCTGCTTACAGGGATTTCCCCCGGGCTTGGCACGCTCAACAAGCCCCGTGGAGCTCCAGGCTCCGCCCTGCACCCGAGTTACGGGTCGGCTGGCCTGGCTGCAGCTCACCACAATGGCACACTTTAGGAGCTCCGCTTCCAGCCCTGACCGCAGAGATGGTGCTGCTTATCCCCCTTAGAGGGTTGCCACCTGTCCGGCAGCCTGACCATGGGGTGACATGGCATAAGGCCGGCAAAAACCCAAAGACCCAAGCCCTGCTTACAGGGGGGTCACTCAGCACAAAGCCAGCCAGGGCACCAAAGGTCCTGGCGACACGCTGGTGCGAACACAGCCCCAGTGACAGGGAGGTCCCTTTGCCCAGAGCGCCCTTTTCTTTCCTCCTCTCGCTGCCCAGACTTCCTCAGCGCCTCGTCCCGCTCACTCTTGGACTGCAGTGGTACAGGACGGAGACCTCCACGCTGCTCCGCCGCCTGCTGCAAGGGCAGGAGAATGCCGTCAGGTCCGAGAGCGATGCCGGTCCCCGTCGAGAGCTGGCCACAGCACCACCCGAACCCCGGCCGCCCTCCCACAACCCACCCCGTGAAAAAAACCTCACAGATCGGCTTTTCTCACCCAGTCGGTGCTCCACCACTTCCTGCAGGGACGACTGCGATGGGCGCATACCGCCTCCGGGCTCCTGGCCAGGTTCAGCGGGGCTTGGACTCTCCTCTGCCCATGAGGGGATGGCGGTCCCTCCTCACGCAGCTCCAGTCCCCTCATCGGCCCGAGGAAGCTCCGCTCCACCCCCCCAAGGTAACGACACCAACTCCCCCTCCAAACGACCACACTACCTGCCCAAAGCAACGGCACTGCTTCCCCCCCCCCCCCCCCCCCCCCCGCCGAGGCGACGACACTGCTTCCCCCCCCCTCCCTCAGGCAACGACACTGACCCTCCCTCAGGC